GTTTTGTTTTTTCTTTTTTTCTGAGATGGAGTCTTGTTCTGTCACCCAGGCTGGAGTGCAGTGGTGCAATCTCTGCTCACTGCAACCTCTGCCTCCCGGGTTCCAGCAATTCTCCCGCCTCAGCCTCCCGAGTAGTTGAGATTACAGGTGCCCACCACCATGCCCGGCTAATTTTTATATTTTTAGTAGAGATGAGGTTTCACCATGTTGCCCAGGCTGGTCTCAGACCCCTGACATCAAGTGATCCACCTGCCTTGGCCTCCCAAAATGCCGGGATTACAAGCATGAGCCACCACACCTGGCCCTAAAATTATTGTTTTTACGAGTGTGTAGAGCCACCCACCTTGAAATGATCTATCAAGGGTGACGGCCAGCCCAAGGCCATCTCACTGGGGAGTAAAAGCCCCGCCGCCCCTCTCCTGTCTTCACGCATCTCCATCCAGGGCTTTCTGTTGACGACCCAGCCAGAAGCTGGAAGACAGAGCCCTGTTGATGTAGGGTCGATCTTGGGACTGGCAGGAAAGGGTGGACAGTACGACGTATTCAGCTCATTAGTGGAGACGGAAAGAGGCAAGACTCAAAACTTAAGGGATTTCAAGGCAGGCAGATCACTTGAAGCCAGGAGTTTGAGACCAGCCTGGCCAGCTGAGGCATGAGAATTGCTTGAACCCCTGGGAGGCAGAGGTGGCAGTGAGCCAAGATCGTACTCCAGCCTGGGCGACAGAGTAAAACTTGTCTCAAAAAGAAAGAGGTTAAGGGATAGGATTTGGGGAGCGAGGGAGGTTTTTGGCTTGAACAAGTTGGTGGCCCGTTGTTTGAGGGGGACTAGAAGAGGATTTGCTTTGTGGGTGGGTAACGTCGTCTACTGTTTGCAGTGCGCTTGAGGTGCCTAGAGACATCCAAGTATCAATGCCAATAAGCCGTGACCTGGATAGGTCTGGGGCTGGGTGGGTAGTAGCTATCTAAAGCTCCGTGATTGCGTGAGAGCAGGTAAGGATGGAACAGGGAAAGGGAAGGAGTGCCTGGGACTGAGCCCTGGGGAACAGTCCTCGCTTGAGGCCTTACACACAACCTAGGAATGCAAAGCCGTGGGTGCCCAGCACCCCATGGCTGCAGAGGGCATCGAGGGAGATGGGAGTGGGGAAGGGCCCAGAGTCTGACCTGCTGCCTTGCCCACCCCCTTCCACCCAGCTGGTGAGCCTGGCCAGTGAAGTCCAGGACCTGCACCTGGCCCAGAGGAAGGAAATGGCCACGGGCTTCAGCAAGGGGCCCACCCTGGGGCTGCTGCCCGACGTGCCCTCCTTGATGGAGACAGTCAGCTACAGCTACTGCTACGTGGGAATCATGACCGGTGAGTGGGCCTGCCGTGACAGCTCTGCCGCTCCTCCGCTCTGTCTCTTCTGTCTCCCTCCACCCTGGGTGCCTGTTCTGTGTCCCCACCCTGCCCGGGGCAACCTCCATCCTAGCGTCCGCTGCTGTGAGGGTGAGCATGTATCTGGATCCAAGTCTCATGCCTCCACTGGACCAGAAGTGCTTCGGGGTGGAGGCTGGCTGTTCTCAGCCTAAGTGATTCCTTGCTCTTCTCCTTGTAGCTTATTGGCAGCAAAGAGAAGAGATAAAAGAGGCAAAGGTCTATGTAAACCTGATGTTTTTGTCGCCCAGACAACAAATATTCACAGTTTAGGGTCCACTTTTAGTTTAAGGAAATATCTTTCAGCTGGGCATGGGGGCTCATGCCTATAATGCTAGCCCTTTGGGAGGCTGAGGGGAGAGGACTGCCTGAGGCCAAGAGTTCAAAGTCAACCTGGCCAACAAAGCAAGATCCCACCCCTTTTATTTAAATAAATAAATAAATAAATATAAAATTAAAAGGCCTGGGCCTAGTGGTTCATGCCTGTAATCCCAGCACTTTGGGAGGCTGAGGCAGGTGGATCA